TGGTGCCAAGTTTGAAGAACACTGCTCCAGTATTCCTAGAGATATTCTTGATTCAGTGTTTTACTGTTCAAGTGGAAACACCTATGACGTCATTAATTTCCTCATTTGCATAATAAAAAAACGTAAATATCTCTAGAACGAAAAAAGATATTCCAAAAAAGGAAACGCCATTCTTCTTTACTTTGAAAAGCCTTTCAACTAAGCAGCAGTTATTTTTTACTTCATAGACACTTTAAGCAGGCTAATTTAAGACAAAATATATGAGCTTTTTAGTTGTCGGGACAAAGAAAACTGTCCGTCAGAAGCAGGTGTCCGTATTAAGCGGGTGTCCGTAGAGCGGGCTTTCACTGTACTTCACTTTCCTCGCTGGTGTTATGGAGGCCCGTCTATTCGATCGCTTGCGTTGTTTGTCACCGAACATGTTATAAAAATTGAAACGACTAAGAAGTATATATATATATGTTTTGTCGATCATCCGCTTTGCAATCTCGTCGGCAAGTACAGGAGAAATCTTCACAAAACTTTCAAAGCGCGAAGAACGAAAAAATTTCACCGGCAAACTTTCACAGCTAAACTTCGAACGTAATTTACATACTCGTTACCAATTGGTCCAAGAACAATAGAGCTGATGTATTTGTCTTGTGTTATAGTTTGCACATGCGCCTAACCGTTAAACCACCACTTTAAATACATAAAAAAACCGGTACAAGTAAAGAAAGAAATACAATACATGTGACTAGTTATCGGAGTATCTTGCAATTGTGCTTTTATGTTGATCACAATTAGGAAGAAGGTTGTTTGGGGGTTGATAAGAGTACGGTTAGCCTGCAATTCGTTATTGCCATACTTTATCACAGCAACGTAGCCCCTCAAAAAGGATAAAAGTCGAGGAACAAGAATAAAACATTTTTCATCCTATTTTTATACAACTAAATGATTTTAGAAATATCTACGAGCAAAAAAAATGATAATAATAATAATAATAATAATAATAATAATAATAGTAATAATAAAATGAAAAGCACTCACTGAGGATATGTTGTGTTTTGCACTTTTGACAGGTTGCAAGGAAATGGTTTGTGCGATAGGCGTCAACGGCCGTGCAGGAAGGTAACGGTAATGGGAAATGGTTTCCTCAATTCTGCAAATTTGACCTGCCACGTGATGGAATTTAAGGTAAAAGAGTCATTTCTTTTTTTGTTTTGT